CACAAGTATACATATGTAACAAACCTGCACGTTATGCACATGTACCCTAGAACTTAAAGTATAATAATAATAATAAATAAATAATAAAAAAGAAATGACTTGAATTTGAATTTTTTGCTTGATATGTATAAAATGTCATTTCTGCTGATCTTAAAGAGAAACACTTGACTGATATGCATAGGTTTCCCGTGTTCTTCCCCTTGAGAGGCCATAGTTAACTGCATTTGCTGCTAGCGGCTCTTATAAACTCAGTGGTTATATAGCAAAGCCTTTCCAAAGTCTTTTATTTTAGAGCTCTTTTTCAGACAAGAAATGATTATACTTTTTCTTCAACTCATTTATTCAATCATAATGATAAATATGGCTTTCACTATTCTGATGAACCAGAGCTATCATCAGTGTGAAATAATAATAGACACGGTTTAGTGAGCATCTACTATATTCCAGTCGATTAGAATTTTTTTCTCTAGATTTTTGGTGACCTTCTGATTACTGTTAATTTACATGTTTTTTATTTTTCTCTACATGTCAAACAAAAAGCAACAACATAAAAAACCCACATGCTTTTTCTTCATACTATCTATATTATTGAATGACAGACAAACATCTGTCCTTCAAGTCAAGTATGAATTAATCATAGACTCCTTTCTCTTCTTCTTCACCCCGCCATATCTAATTGGCCACTGTCTTTCCTTTTTTTTTTTTTTTTTTTTTAAGATGGAGTCTTACTCTGTTGCCCAGGCTGGAGTGCAGTGGTGTGATCTCGGTTCATTGCAAGCTCCATCTCCCAGGTTCAAGCGACTCTCCTGCCTCAGCCTCCCAAGTAGCTGGGATTACAGACATGCACCACCACACCTGGCTAATTTTCATATTTTTAGTAGAGAGGGGATTTCGCCATGTTGGCCAGGCTGGTCTCAATCTCCTGACCTCAAATGATCCACCCACTTCGGTCTCCCAGTGTCTTTGTAGTTTTAAAAATTATCTTTGGAATTTGTCTTGTCTCTATTTCTAATTCATTTAATCTACTTGAAGCCTTAATCATTTATTTTCTTCTAATATGTTGAGCATCTATACCGATTTTCCTGACCCCACTTGCCTCATTCTCCAATTATTCTTCCCATAGTTATCAGCACTGAATGCTAATAATAGTACTTTGTTCATATTAGTTGTTATTAAAACTCTTCAGCTGGGTTCAGTGGCTCACGCCTGTAATACCAGCACTTTGGGAGGCCAAGGTAGACGGATCACGAGGTCAGGAGATCGAGACCATCATGGCTAACACAATGAAACCCCGTCTCTACTAAAAAAAAAAAAAAACACAAAAAACTAGCCGGGCGAGGTGGCGGGCGCCTGTAGTACCAGCTACTCAGGAGGCTGAGGCAGGAGAATGGTGTGAACCCGGGAGGCGGAGCTTGCAGTGAGCCGATACCGCGCCACTGCACTCCAGCCTGGGCGACAGAGCCAAACTCTGTCTCAAAAAAACAAAACAAAACAAAAAAACCACTCTTCATTTATTCCTTATTATCCTCAAGGTAAGCCCAGCTTCCCAGTCATGACATACAGGACTCTCTGTGTGACCCCAATACTTAACACAGATGTGTTTCAGATTTCAGAATTTTTTGGATTTTAGAAAAGTAATACGGTTTATGCAATACACATATGACATCCTCTGCTCATTTCTGAACACTTATGGGAGTGAATGGCAGGTGCTTTTAATAATTACGCTGGGGTAAATTATGCTAGGTGTAAACTGGACCTGTCTTGGGCAAACCAGAATGTTCTTTACACAGGTTAAGAATGTCAAGCAAAGAACATTAGGGATGAAGCAATACAAGGAGAACAGATAGAGAGAAGGGAGCAGTGGGTTAAGTGGAGTCCTGGAGAAATATTTGAAAAGGGAGAAAGGAACATGGCTCTTGAGGCAGGGGGGAAACCTGGAGCAGGTAGCCTCACGAATCCCAGGGAAGAAGAATTGTTTTTCTATTATTTTAGAAGCAGAGCCCCTTTAGGAGACTCCTCATCAGATAATGGTTATTCAGTGAGGGGTCATATTCTTAATTAAAAGGGCCTTTACCTTTTCTTAGAATACTATGTTTGAATGACTTTTTATGTATTAGGATATAAAAGTCTCTTGTAAGCATTTCTATTTTATAGTCATTGACTAAAATCTAATTCAGATCCAGCTTAAATCCAAAAGTCATTTCATGCTACGTTTTATCCTGAGGTTGCTAGTTATTTAGTCAAATACAGTGAGTATAATCACTACAGGCTTAGAGTAAATTTCCATGTCAAGAGGTAGAACACATTTATTCTGTAATATTGAATCCTGTAATATTGAAAATCAAAAACAGCCCTTTTTTTTTCTTCTATAGAAAATAAGATTTTTAAGGAAGTCAGCAGGAAAATAGAACAAGTGAATATTTTACATTCTTAGTGGTTTATGGTTGGCCGTTTTCCCCCAACATTTTGTTATGAAAAGTTAAAATGTACAGAAGAATTGAAAGTCTTATGCCCACCAGCTAGATTCTTTCATTAACATGTTGCTGTATTTCCTTTATCACTGTCCATCTGTTTTACCATCTGTTTGTCCCTCTTTCCATCCATCCGTCTATCTTTTTTTTTGGTAAGCATTTCAAGTAAGTTGACTGGCAGTTTTTCTAAGCAGCCGTATCTTTATTTTGTTACTGTTTTTTTCCTGGATGTTGTAATTACAGTGTCAAGATATTTAATGCAGATGTTTCAGCTAACCCTTTTTCCTATTTCTAGAAATCTGAGATTGCCAATAATCCCTGACAATCTTAAATTCTTTTTTAATTCTGGTAAATAGTGTCAGACCTGACTAGAGCCCTCTTTCTCAATTGTTTTGTAATCCAGACAATTAAAACCATTAGTCATTAAAACATAATTTATAGTGGTTTTAAAGCATGACTTTCTAAATTTTAAATCAACATTTATTCATATTACGTTGTTTTCAGAGTGGAGAGATCTACAGACCAAGTCATCAAGCCGGTCAATGTAGCAGCTCTATCCAAATGGGTTGGGAAGATACCGCCAGATGTTTTACAAGACATGGCAGTGATTGCTCCTATGCTTGCCAAACTTGGATATGACCCGTATGCCAACCCACCTAACTATGGAAAACCTGATCCCAAAATTCTTGAAAACACTCGAAGGGTAAGTGAGATTTTTTAAAGCAACTGAGAAAACTAGATTTGGAATTTGGGATCCGCATACTTTTTTTCTTATTTTATTTCTTGCTATTTAATGATCAGAAAATTATTTTGAATTAGACACATTTGGGCCCAGCAGCCTGGCACGGTGGCTCACGCCTATAATCCCAGCACTTTGGGAGGCCGAGGTGGGTGGATCACAAGGTCAGGAGATTGAGACCATCCTGGCTAACACGGTGAAACCCCATCTCTACTAAATACACAAAAGATTAGTCAGGCATGGTGGCAGGCGCCTATAGTCCCAGCTACTCAGGAGGCTGAGGCAGGAGAATGGCGTGAACCCGGGAGGCGGAACTTGCAGTGAGCAGAGATCATGCCACTGCACCCCAGCCTGGGTGACAGAGCGAGACTCCATCTCAAAAAGAAAAAGAAAAAAAAAAGAAAAATTTGGGCCCAGAATAGGGCTGACACGTGTAGTTTCAGCACTTTGGAAGGCCGAGATGGGAGTGAGCCCAGGATTTCAAGACTAGCCTGGACAACACAGTGACACCCCATCTCTACAAAAAATATAAAAATTAGCCAGGCATGGTCACATATGATTCTAGTCCCAGCTACTTGGGAGGCTGAGGTGGGAGGATTGCTTGAGCCTGAGAGGTCAAGGCTGCAGTGAGCTGAGACTATGCCACTGCACTGTAGCGTGGGTGACAGAGCAAGACCTTGTCTCAAAAAAAAAAAAAAAAAAAAAATGAAGAAAAATTCTATTTGTAGAATACTTTCTTATCAGAAGTCTTCCTCTGCATTTTAAGGATAACTGGCTAATTGGGGATACTCCTTAGGGTATTTTGCTCAGTTTCTAGGAGTAAAACTCACTGTTGGGAGATTTATTCTCAGCCAATTACTGCAGATCTGCATAAATACTATAATTATTAGTGACCTTACTTCTGATTTCTTTCTTTCTGTAAATCTAATAGCCACTTTACTTTAAACCTTTGTTTAGATGGGGCATAATTTTTGGATACCTAAAGGCTAAACATTGGTTACACTAGAAAAATTGTTAAACACTAGTCTTCTGATTAAGAGAAAGTTGCTATTAAAGTGACATTACAGTTTTTATTTTAATAAGTTATGCTCACGTCTTTACAAAATATTGTTTCGGAAAGTGCTGAAAACTCAGAGCTAATTAGATTATATAGCCTACCAGTTGAGTCTATTTCAAATCAGACCTTATATATTCTTTTATTTATTGCAGTAAGATCTGTTTAACATAAAATTTACCACTCTAACATGTTTAAAGTGCACAATTCAGTGGCATTAAATACATTCACATTGTTGTGCAACTGTCACCACCATCCATCTCCAGAACATTTTTTGTCTTCCCAAACTGAAATTCTGTACCCGTACTCTTCATTCCTTAGCCCCTGTCAACGGCAGTTTTTTGTGTCACTTACATATATTTTTTGAAACTACGTTTCAAATAAGACAACCGTGTTAGCATAAGTTCACTGATAAGCTATTTGATTCCAAGGTGAAAATTCCTTGGCTTTGTCTGGTATTCTCTTGTTTATATCAATGTCCTTCCCTCCCTACAACTATATGCCATATCATCTCTTTATTCTGTCTTTTGATAACTTTAATTGACAAATTTATGCCACATTTATTTCATGAGATTAATTTCTATGTGAATTCCTTTCTCTTAGGTATTACTTTTATTTCCCTTTTTCAGTTCATCATTAGCAGCTATATGAGAAGAGCTGCCTTCTTATAAACCATCACACATGAGGGCAAATTAAAAAAATAATCACTATCCTCTTTATGCTTTTCATATATATATAAATATTTCCATTATAAAAATATAATCATTATATGAAACTTACAAAATTAAAAGGATAAGAGAATAAAAATCACCTGTAATGTTACCACCTAGACACATACACATATTATTCTTTTTTAAATTTTCTCATTTATTTACACATATTTTCTTAATATTTTGATGTATTTTCTCTCCTCTGCATTATGTTAAACAAAGGTAAGATTACATATATCATCTTACCTTTATATACACACAGTTTTGTATCCAGCCCTTTTAATATTCATGAGCATTTTCCCATTGTGTGCATGCTTTTTAAACATAATTTTTGTAGTTTTATACCTTCATAGAAGCCACCTTAAATTCTTTCTGAAACACAGTAGTAAATGAATGAATAAATCAACAAACAAAATATATTTCCCTAGTAGATGTTCTATAATTGATTTTACCATTTTGTTGTTTACAGTTTTCTCTTTGACAGATTGTGCTACAGTGAACATCTTTGCACATACTCAATTTTAGGATTTTTTTTTTTTAAGGTAGGACCAATAAAAGTAGAATTAAACCAGGGTAAAGTATCTGAGATTTTTAAAAGGTGTTTGATATCTATTGATATTAAAAAACAACAACAACAAAAAAAACCTTTGGGCTGGCCACAATGGCTCACGCCTGTAATCCCAGCATTTTGGGAGGCTGAGCTGGGTGGATCGCTTGAGCTCAGGAGTTCAAACCCACCTGGACAACGTGGCAAAATCCCATCTCTACAAAAAATACAAAAGTTAGCCAGGTATGGTGGCACATGCCTGTGGTTTCAGCTGCTTGGGAGGCTGAGGTGAGAGATTGCTTGAGCCTGGGATTTTGAGTTTACAGTGAGCTGAGATTGTGCCACTGCATTCCACCCTGGGTGATGGAGTTGAGACCCTGTCTCAAGAAAACAAAAACAAAAAACAAACAAAAAACCTTTGAACTACCAGCACAATTGAGGTAATTTATTTTAGATTTTTGTTGGTTTTAATAGATTTCATTGATTAATGTAATTGAACATTTTTCAGTTACTAGCTATATGTATATATTCTTTTATGAACTATCCTTTAAGTTTTTCCTTTATTTATTTGAGACAGAATTTTGCTCTGTTGGCACAATCTTGGCTTACTGCAGCCTCTGTCTCCTGGGTTCAAGTGATAATTCTCTTGTCTCAGATGGAATTATAGGCACACGCTACCAAGCCTGGCTAATTTTTTTTTTTAGTTTTAGTAAAAATAGGGTTTAGTCGTGTTGGCCTGGCTGATCTCAAACTCTTGACCTCAAGTGATCTACCTGCCTTGGCCTCCCCAAGTGCTGGGGTTACAGGCGTGAGCCACTCTTTCTTTCTTTCTTTTTTTTTTTTGAGACGGGGTCTTGTTCTTTCGCCCAGGCTGGAGTGCAGTGGCGCTATCTTGGCTCACTGCAAGCTCCACCTCCCGGGTTCACGCCATTCTCCTGCGTCAGCCTTCCAAGTAGCTGGGGCTATAGGCGCCCACCACTACGCCTGGCTAATTTTTTAAGTTTTCATTAAGAGACGGGGTTTCACTGTGTTAGCCAGGATGGTCTCGATCTCCTGACCTCATGATCCACCCACCTCGGCCTCCCAAAGTGCTGGGATTACAGGCGTGAGCCACTGTGCCCAGCCAGCATGAGCCACTCCTTAAAGTGTTATACGTATTAAAGTTTTGTGAGCTCTTTGTAGTTGGTAATTCATAGCTTTCTCCTTTGCACAATAGTGAAAGGCTTTTTTTTATTACCAAGATACATGTACAGTGCTATTTTGAAGGTTTTATAGCATTAAAAATAGCAAAATGAAGACATTATAGTTTTCTTACATGCAAATTGGCTTGGCTAGATTATCCTTTGCTTTCTTGAGTGATGGGTTGGGAAGAATGCTATGGTTTGAATCCATGTGACCAAAGAATCTATGTCATACACACTCTTGGTTTTTGAAAGGATTTCAAAATAACACACTGAAATTTAAAAACACCCACCTTTTTTTTTTTTTTTTTCCTGTCTCTGCCTATCTTTAAAGTGACAGATAATTTTGAGGAAGAAAAGATGAAGTGTGAACTATAATGGTGTTTTTGGGCCTTTTGTGGTAATGCATACAAACTGACATTCTTGTCTTGTGAGGGTAGATTTCATAAGACCTTTTTGCAAAGTAAATCCTGTGTATCTTCAATGCTTTTTTGCCTGTAATAAGTCAGATGCTAATGTATCCAGCACTGATGGTCATGAGGTTTTTATAATGCAGTGCTTGAAAAGAGATTGTTGATTGTTAGCTATGATATGAGATGGGCCCCAGAGAAAGAGGTGGCTGGGGAAGGTGTTTTTTTTTTTTTTTTTTTTTTTTTTTTGAGACAGAGTCTCGCTCTGTCGCCCAGGCTGGAGTGCAGTGATGCGATCTCGGCTCAATGCAAGCTCTGCCTCCCAGGTTCACACCATTCTCCTGCCTCAGCCTCCCGAGTAGCTGGGACTACAGGCGCCCGCCACCAAGCCCGGCTAATTTTTTGTATTTTTAATAGAGACGGGGTTTCACTGTGTTAGCCAGGATGGTCTCGATCTCCTGACCTCGTGATCCACCCGCCTCGGCCTCCAAAAGTGCTGGGATTATAGGCGTGAGCCACGGCGCCCGGCCTGGGAAGGTGTTTTTCTTAGTTATGGTATGAGAGTGGGAGAAGAATCACATTTTAACTGAGAATTTAGAATGTGGATCTCTAGGCCTAAAAATGCTGGTTTTTTTCTTTTTTTTTTGTACAATTCTGGGTAGTCTGCAAGTAATAATGAGTCAGCACATTTTAGGGACATATTGCCCAATATTGAATAGATAATCATGCTTCATGGTTACTGTGACTCACATAGTAAATTGGTAATGAAACGTTAACATATTTTGTACCCTATTCCACCATAGTCTCTAATCCTAAAATTATAGCACATTTCAATAAATAGTGCTGTCTAGGTTACATCCTTAGCCTTCTTGCATAGATTCTTAACCTTTTTAGACTTAAGAACTTATTTGAGAATTTGATGAAACATGTGGATCCCCACCTCAGAAATACAGACATATGAATACACAGATTTTACCCACAATTTCAGTAGATACCTACATGTTACAAAAGTCCATCAGATTAAGGACTCCTATTACCCACAATTTCAGTGGATGCATAGAT